ATTGAAACTAATACAAAATGGATAAACCCAACGTTCTCGCTCGCGTAGTCAAGGTTTTGGGCCGTACCGGCTCCCAGGGGCAGTGTACCCAGGTGAAGGTCGAGTTCATTGGAGAGACCAGCCGCCAGATCATCAGGAACGTGAAGGGGCCAGTTCGTGATGGTGACATCCTTACGCTGCTGGAATCTGAGCGTGAAGCCAGAAGATTGAGATAAATGGTAACTTGTTTTTCACTAAGGATATTATCGAGAATAACAGAATTTCAGTTTGTAGGTTATGTTTTGCTATTGTTCGGAAATGAATAACGACGAATTCACGACTATAGTTATATTTTTGACCTTTAATGTGTTCAAGTGCAGGAAGGTGTCAATAATGACGAGTTTACCACAATAAGAAGAGAAATATTAATTATTTTGATTGTCAAAATTAATATCAGTATATTTTGAACAATTTTCACTCTTCATATTTGCTATACTGAATAAAATGAAACAACGAACCTAGTACCTGAAGAGTAGTAAGAGATTATATGTAGTTAAGCTTATCCATTTTCAGGACTTTATTAATGCTTACTTTTCTTTTGTTTCAGGTTGGATATAATTCATAGGTTAAGGCTCTTAATATCTTTATATCAATGTAATATTATCTTAAAAACAAAACCGTCAAAGATGACCATATTTGTGAACACTATTCAACAATAAACACTTTATCTTCAAAGAGTCTTTTATTTTGCAAAACTTTTCTTTATTATTTAAGTTTTGTATTAATTATGTTATAGTCAAATATGTATAAGTCAGAGACCAAGGAACCCCTAAAATTTTCTCACTTATAGAGGTACCCTTACCTGAGTCACTTATGGAGGTTGTCTACGAGACAATTACTCTTGCTTATAGGTTTCTAACTTTCCAGCTTTGACTATAACAGGATAGCATGTGCTATTAGTTATCAATGTGATACCATTCATGACTTCATAACTCATCATTTTAATTTGGAAATATATTTGACTTTCATAAACATTGACAAATAAAAGCAACTATGGATTTTTTAATAACAAGAAAATAACATGAAGTATTACATCGTGAATGTGTTATTTACATATTAAAATTTTAAAAAATCATGAAAGCAATGTTATCTACAAACAAAACACTTCCTCTTAAATTATTCAAACTTTCGTGAGACATTATACTAAACTGATATATAAACACGGCTAAACACCCAGGTATATTCATCCGGTGGTGGCACCGACTAGTTTCGAGCCCATTGGGGGCGCTTCATCAGGATGAGTGGTACTGGTATTATTTCGCGGACGCGGGTCCGGTTTATATGTCAGTTTAAAACACTTCCTCTATTTATTACTTTTTATCTTGTGATTAAAAATTGTAGTCCATATATCTGTCGAGGTACTCTAAGCAGACTACTGTTGCAGATTTGTCAGTTGCATCAATGTTATCTTCACCAGAAGGATGTCAGATAGATGAAGTTCAAAAACACATTGACGTTTGTCGAGGAATAAACTCAGATATAGTAGAAGTCTGGAGCTAATCACTGGGCCTGATGGTCACAACTTGATAGTAAATAATAGCAATTTTAGAAATGTAAAATTAATTTATTATGTCATATAGAAATAAAACAATATCTTGTTATCTATATTTTACTATTAAATAAATTTGTAGTATCTAGATATATAATTTACATTTTTATGTAAGAAAAAAAAATTGGTGTGAGTTGCCATGTTTAGTAGAAAAGGCATTAAAAGTAGCTTTATCTGTGTATTTTCTATAAATAATTATAATTGATATGATTACACAACTTGCTGTTACGTAAATAATTAACTACATATTTTATCAACATTTTCAAGGAAACTATTTAGTAAAAACATTTATAGTAATTTAATTTTAATAAAAGATCAATGATATTTGGAAGTCATATTTTATATTATGCTACTAACAATAACTGTACACTCCATTTCTTCATATTATTTCAATAATCAACAAAATTAAGACAAATAAGTACCTAGGTATGACATGTCACCGTCAATATCAAACAATATTATCTATATATAACAGTTATGTAAACAAAACAAACATTTTATATACAAAAATATACAATAAACCATTACAATGGATTGCATGATAAAATTAGCGCCATCGCATTTGCCCGCCGTTCGCACTTGATTTTACCGCCATTTTCAATGACAGGAACACTTGATTGCATTTGAGCATCTTGGAAGGTAACTCTGGAAGATTCGTTGCATATTAAGTGTCGTATTTTTCACCTTCACATTGACTAGCCCAAAATAAACAATTGCCTATGCCGCTGTAACATATAAGTATAACTGCAGCTAGAAATACAAAGCTGCATACTGTACACGGTTTCCTTTCGAGGAAAAACCCAATCAGATATAGCACCATGAACATAACATGAGTGTTCACAAGTGCCGGGTTCACAGGCTTCGGTATAAGCAGCACAGGAATCAGCCATTGCAAACAATACATGGTGCTGACGAGTCTCGCACTCCGATTGATTACCGTATCACTTTAGTAGAAGCTAATAATCGGGTCCTTATCGACATGTTTCCTTTTAAAAGTTTCTTATCTTGGGGAAATGTATAAGAAAAAACAAGTTTTAATATCGAATGTCGACGCAAAATCCTTTGACAATGACAGTTGGCTTCGATTGCGCAACACAGATTATAGATTATCTGTCTTAACGTAATTTATAGTGCGCCCATGAAAATAGAACACCTCGACATATTGCGAAAGATCACTATAAAGTGGACAAGATAAATTAATTTAAAAAATTCGTTTGCATTGTAATTGTGGAATGTTGTCGAGTTTTCAAAGTATTTTATTGTTATCGCGAGGTAATTCTTGATGGTGATATAAACGAATATTTTTCAGCGAATTAACACTAATACGCTGAAAAAGATTACAGCCGCGGACAAACAAATACGAGCATTAACAGAGAATATTTGTCTAAAATAATGTACTAAATTTTCTAAGTTATATATCGTTGGACATGTTGACGTAGATGTAGAATGTTACAATATCAATAGACATTGTGGCGCCCTCGTGATAGGCTTGTTATATTTTTGATCAGACTGTACAACATTTTATTATTTTTATAACATCTATAGGTTTGTATAGATAAACTTATACAAATATGCCCATGCTGACTAAATTATACATCTGTTTAGTATAATTTTATTGATATTTTAAACTATTAAGTTACATCTATAATCTTATAGATACGAGGAGCGATAGTTTGTTTAAAAATAAAGGTTTTTTTATGTTCTTTTTGTCGTAAGAGTGGATAAAATAAAGCAATAAAGAAATTAAGTTTTTAAAAATTACTTCTTTTCAGTTTTACTAGAAAGTGGTCGTCAATCAACAAAGGCCGTTTTAGTACCGAAAATTTAGAGTGGTACTTTTATATGCTGACAGTAAATCAACGTCTTATCGTCGGTTTCTGAGACAAAAATCCTTGCATAAACCACGTCATCCCTGTCATCATCTTTGACAAAACAGAGACAACGATATGTTTTACACAGGGATTTTGGTCTCAGAAAACAACCATAATTAGATTTATATTCAGGACTCGTAAAACTTTGATAAAGGGTCACTGTAACTAATTTATAACTCGGACTCCATTGAGATAATTGGATTGAAGACGTTGTTTATATATTTTTCAATACACGCTGAGTTGAATATAAAATGGTTTCAACGAAAGAAAACAATCTGGGAATAATTGTATTTGAAGCAATTTTAAATTTTACATTTTTTTCCGGTTTACTATTTTTTTTTCGTTTTGTTACGGAAAGAAAAAAAATATCAACTATACCATTAGTATGTTTTCTAACACTGTACACAACAACATTTTGTTAAGGACAAAAGAAACAATAGCTTTCTTTCTATATTATATAACATAAATGCTAAGACAAGGCGTGATTGATCGAGACCAAATAAAATTCCATTAATTGCAGCACCTCGAAATGTATTCTACTAAAAAAGCCAGTCCGCATCGTGCTTTATGTCTATTGATCATAACTTTAAATGCTAAAGCCTTATCCTTTAATGAAAAACCTTTCATTCTTTACACAAAAGCCTCGAGAACACGCATGCGTCAATAATAAGGTTTCTACGCCGCCCGATATTCGGTCATTTCCCGCCAGTCAGGTCCGCGCCCGCCTCGCGCCTCGCACGCTCCTGTCATCACGCGCATACATTGACACCAACATCGTTCTTTAGTGATGTGAATAAAAATCGATAACCGAAAAAAATAATGTTCGATTTTAATTTAGGTTTTGATAATTTAGTTTCAATTGTAGTTCATGAATTAATTGTTGTATTTACGATTATATTGTGTCACGACAATGAAAACGATTCGGCCTAAAATTATTTCTTAAACGCGATAATACTTTGACAATAAATAAAGTAATATTGACGATAATTAATTTTAGAGAAATAAATAAAAAATGGCGAATCCAGCTCATTTGATGAGGCGACAGAGCTCCCGGGATCTTTATGCCCAGCGGTCTTTGGATAGAATGGAGATGAAAGAACTAAGGGGGCGATTGGTGACAATGGAAAACGGTCATCCTTCGCACCGCACGCACGTCATGTACGGCGCAACTAATGAAGCATTTGAGGATACCAGCCCCAACCGACGGTCTTCGGAGACTCCAACTAGTAAAGGTAGTTCTGGAGAGGAGAGAGTGTTTAAGCCAGAAGGAGGGGAGTGCGAGAGGGAATCTTGGGACAGTAAGCTGACGTTTCTCTTAGCTACTGTCGGATATGCCGTCGGATTGGGCAACGTGTGGAGATTTCCGTACCTGGCTCAGAAGAATGGTGGCGGAGCTTTCTTAATTCCTTATTTTGTGATGTTGGCTATTGAAGGGATACCTATATTCTACTTGGAATTAGCTATTGGGCAGCGTTTGAGGAAAGGTGCGATTGGCGTATGGCATCAAGTCTCCCCTTACCTCGGGGGCATTGGCATCAGTTCAGCGGTGGTCTCTTTCAACGTAGCTCTGTACTATAACTCTATAATAGCTTGGTGCCTTTTCTACTTTGCTCAGAGCTTCCAGGCGGAACTTCCATGGTCTGAATGCCCGAACAAATATTTCGATAACGGATCGTACATCACTGAGCCGGAGTGTGCAGTAAGTATAGTATATATACAGTTAGATTATTAAAGAAGGATATAAAAGCTTCATATGATGTCTTTGTTTCTTTAATTTTTTTCTGTTAAACTAAGGCGATGTCATCGATATTGTCTATTGTATCTTATTAAAACTCTTTTGTAGTGGGAATAAGAAAAAAGGACGAAGAATTAGTTGGATAAGATACAAGAAAGACGCTAATTTTTAATATTTAAGCAAAAAATAAAGTAGTACACTTTTAAGATTTCGTTTCGAAAATATACAGTACTTTTGTAGAGACAGTTAATAAAGTTCAGACAACTCGCTTAAATAAAATCCTCTTTTGTGCCAGCGACCATAAAGCAACCTTTTATTTTTTTACTAAACAGCAAAAGATTTCTTTTAATGGCAAAAGATACGGGTGTTAATTAAAAATGGAAACCAATTAACTCTACAAAATATGAAATCTATTTTCATAACTATTTATGTTATTCCATCTTTTAATTAACAAATTCTCTGATATAAAGATAAGCACATTGTTTACTAACCTTCTTAATATGTGTCAAAATCAATATAC